AATGCCTCATCCTCCCGGCCTCGCTCTCCTACCTCGTAGCAAAATGCATACCTGCAAGAAGAGAGCTGCCGAGGTCAGCTTTGGAGTACTGCTAAAAGTCTCTCTGAGTATTTAGAGCACTCTCTAGAATTTCAAACTTGTCTATATTCGAAGGAGGAGAGGACTTTTTAAAACACTGAGAATCTTTTATGTTCTAATTCGAGCATTAAAAATATGAGGAAACAGAAATGGGCAATAGCGCGTCCCATGTGGGTACCGTATGGATGGAGGTATTTGGGGTCCCGTGGCTGTGTTTCATCCTGTTGTGAGGAGAATGATTTCTGTTCCTTGTGGACTTTCTGTGTCGGCAGATAACGAGCCCCTCTTAATTTGAAAGAGCTTTATAATAGGTCTGAAAAACCCCTTCAGCCTTGTCACATTTCTGTGATGAGGACTTCAGGTGCATCACGCTGCCGGACAGAAAACCCATTGATACTTCTGCTGTGGAGGGTGGGCATCGCAGCGTGTCATCGCAGCCCGGCCAGCGAGGTGACAAGATGCACGTGTCCTGTGTCTGCCCGGGGCTGTGCCTGCGGGAGGAGCTGGCTGTTCCCTGGCAGAGCCACACCTGGCAGGCGGTGGCACGCGTGTGACGTGCTGCTGGCGTCATCAGCCGACGAGTTACCGTGACGTTACCTTACGCCCCAGCCTCCCTGGAGGAGTTTGGGGATCAGCTGCACAGCAAAACCAGGACAGAGAGGGAATTTGAACACCACTGTGTAGGTTGCCCATTCCACACGGATTAATACGGGCCCCTCTTTTGAACTTTCAGAAGGTTACTACGGAGGTGAGGCAGAGCTGCGCAGGGTCTCCCCGTGCGCCTGGTTTGTTGTGGATGACTACTTTGGAAACACCAAGGAAAAGCGTTTAGGTTTCCCCAATGTTTATAAATACAATATGGTGCAAACTGTCAAGCAGGCTGTTCAAAATCACGTAACGCCTGTGCTGCCTTCCCTGTTTGGCTCGAACGTCTTCACCACACACTCGGCGTTCATCCGACGTTTAAAGCTCCCGGCACGCAGCTCCGGCCCATCTGCCGCCGGTTTTCCTCCTGCGAGCTGGGCTGGGGACGCGGCGGTGCGGGCAGGGTGGGTGCCGTGGCTCTGCTTGCGCTGTGACCTGCTCGTTGGAACCCTGGGCTTCCTCCAGTGCTGCTGCCGGCTGGCTCAGCAAGAACCCGGGCTGCCCCAAAGCATCCAGACTCCTACTCCCAAAACTATGGGTAGGGGCAGAAAAGATACCTTCAAGTGTGGTTTGTCCTTTTTAGAAGGTTTGTCCAGAAGGTTTGTTAGAAGTTCCTAAGTTAGAAGTTCCTAAAGGTTTGTTTGTCCCCTGCAAATGAAGGGATAATGCCTTTCCTGGGAGGTGCCCTGGGAGCTGAAGGGAAGGATGGGTGGGTTGATGGTGCCGGGGGAGCGGGGGCTCACCTTGGCTGTGCAATGTGGTTTCGAGCCTCCAGCTACACGGTGGCCTTCTGCTCCTCATCCCACGAGCTTGTTAGGGTTGGACGGAGCCTTTTTTCACTGGATATTTTGCCCTGAAGTGTGCCAGGGTCTTCTGCCTTAATATATATAAAAAGATGAGATGTTTATTAAACTCAGGCTCTGCTTTTTCTTCTACAATTTCTGTTCCAAAAGGCTGGCAGTAAACAGTTTATTAAAAAGAAATCCTGATTTATTTCTGCAAACGGTTACGTTTCAGGCTGGTACCAGACAGTTTTGTAGGAGACCACCTTTTACGCTTCCCATGGCAGTTTAAAAGATCGCTAGAAAAAATAAGCCAGCATCTAAGTAGGTTTGGATAAAGGCAGGCCAGGGCTGTACGTCAGGGTACGTGGTGCTTTTATGCAGCGAAGCAGCAGATTTTACCACAGAACATCTGGGTGGTGGCTTCAGTTACAGCACAGATTTCAGTGGGATCACAAGTCTTGTTTGGCTTCGCGTTCGTTTTGAAGTCACTAAACTTTATGCGAATAATAAAACTGTAAGCCCATTACTTCACTACATTCAAGGGGCTATTTCAGTCCTCCTTCAGAGTCTTGCATCTTCCTAGAGCTGGTTTTATTTTGTTTTACTAAGCGAGTATTTATCTTTTCCGTCCCCGGCTTGCTTTTGCAGGAGGCAGATTGACTAATTTGTACCGCTGGACACACCAGAGATGGCGGGTTTCCATTCGACCTCGCCGAAAGTGCACGTTTTCTGCATTAAGGGCAGTCTAATGAAAACTGCACGTTTCTCATTCGGTGCCTTCAGAGGGGCTGATGTTATTAACGTGTAAGACTATAGAGCTGCTCTGGGCTACTGGTTCCACTGCTCGTGAGAGTTAAAATAACCGGGGAGGTTTTGCTTTCTTTTTCTGTTTGATTATCAAATGCAGAGGAGAAGGACAGACTTGACTAAAGGAGTGAAGAGTCTCCTCCTTGGTGTAAGAAAACAAGTTTGCAAGCTTTTATAAAAGTGTGCACGTACTGGTGGGGATGCCCAGCATCGAGGGTGATAACCTCGACTAATATATAATTATATCTCGAGAAATACATGTTTGGACTGGCAGGCTTGTGTGAGAGCGTGGTGTGATACCGAACGCTGTTGAGCTCTGTGTTTTGGTGTCACTGACTGCACGGGCAGAAGTGAAAGGAGAAGAAAGCAGAATGGTGTTAAAGGAAAGGGAGGATCTTAGGTAAGAGCAGTGAGAAGGTACTCAAGGACCGCTCAAGCTCCCCTAAATAACGCGCGGTGCAGTGAGTGAGCGCTGCCTCGGAGAAACGGCAGAGTGCAGGAGCTGCCTTCCCTGCTCTTTGTTTTACGTTGTGACTGAGAATACGCTGCTTTGACCACAAAAATCTGCGTGAGATCAAACAGGGATCGTTTCTGCCTGAGAAAACGACTCAAATAAGCTAACACTTACGGATTGGTGGAAGGAGCTTTGAAGGCTGAAGGAGATGTTATGTTTGAAAACTTTAACAAGATGTCATTAGGAGAGGAAGTATTTGCCCTTAGCTTGGGAAATAGGTCAGGGAAATAAATCATAACTCCGGGAGAACGTGCTTAAAGCTGGAAATAAATTAAGAGGGAGACAGAGAGAGAGAGTAAATATTAAGAAGAAGTTTGTTCTTTCAGAATTACTGTTCTGATTTGCAGTGTGCAGGGACACCCACCGAATGGGAAAAAGGGAAATGTTAACGCAGAGCTGTAACAGCAACCAGCCAAAAAACCTCGTGACTGCGTAGATGGCTTTGATTGCACCCTGGAGAGCTCGTTGGTCATGTGGGACATATCAGAAGCAGGGAAAGCATCGTCTTGTTTCAGTTCATGTGTGAGATAGCTGATACTAGAACGTCACCAAAACCATCATGATCTTCTGGGGGGCTTTTTTGGATGGGTTTTAAATGCCACTCAGCAACACGAGTGGTCTGAGATCCCAGCTCCCAGTCCATGACTGCTTTGATAAACAAAAACATACCTGAGTTACCAGAGGTATGCGGGCAAATCCTGCGCCACGCATCTTTCGGTGGGCTGTGTCCTTCCACCTGGGCAGGGATGAGCGCTCACTTTTAGCATTTCTGACAGATTCCTCAAGAGCACCCAGGGTGGTTCAGGTTTTGGCCTGAATCAGGACCGCTCTGGTTTTAGGTTAATTAAATTCAGTAGTTGGAAAGATATTTGTCGCTTGCGTGACAGCTGAGATAAGAAGCAGTGAGTACTTACTGCGAGCACCTGGAAATCTGAAAAACAAAAGGCAATAATTTATCTTTCCTACTTCATTCCCCTCTCCACGGGTCCGGATATGAGTGCCCCTCCAGCGTGACCCTCGCACGCTCACAACGTGACACACCACCGAGGCCAACACTTCCCCTGTGATTTACAGGGGAAAAGTATTGTTCGCCTAATTGAGCGTATTTCTTATTTGTAATTTTTTTTTAATTTAAGGAAAAGTAACTTTAAAGGGGTTGAAATTTTATTAGGGTGTGAGAAAAATTATGCTTTTCATCTTTCTCACTTTTAACTTATTACTGAAATAGAGCAGCGCTAGAGCAGCCGCTGCTCCTGCTGCAAAGGCTGGTGGGGAGGTGCAATGGGATCGCATGTTCTTCACACGCCTCTGCAGGGATTATTAAACAGGGTAGGTGGATTTTACAAAACAACCAGAATATCCTGAAGATGTGAGCACACTGTCTCTCTCTCTCTCTCTCTCTCTCTCTTGCTGCTTTGTTTAGGTGCAGCAGATTTACCGCTAATTAGTTTATAGTCAAACAGTCTAAACGTGTCTCAGCATTTTGAAATCCAGGAACCTGATGCAAATGAAGCCGTTTCCAGATGGGGATGATGATGGTGCGGGATAGCCACGTGTCTCGGAGCTGCCAGCTGGTCTTGGGATGCAAAGGGAAACAGGAAAACATCAGTGAGCGGCGTTAACAGTTTCTAGTCCCCGTTCTTTCTCTTCCTTTGGCTACTAAATCTGCATTTAATTCCCTGTGGGCTTTTTCTCCTGGGTAAGAATTAGTTACTTGAGTATGATTTGTAGGACTAATAGGATCTTACCCTTATTTGGGGAAGACCCTAGGGGCTTTCTCAAACTGATTTTTCAGTAATGAGAAATAATGAATAAAAATCTAATAGTCCTAGGGGGTATTAAAGTTACAATTTTGCAAGGAAGATTTAATGTCAGTCAATTAAAACTTTTATAATCCTGTTATAGTACAATAGTTGGAAAAAAAATCATACTAGGAAAAATAAGGTTTTTAATACCCTTTTACATCATGTGAACAAGTCTAACTTAATTTAACATTTGAATTAAGTAGATATTTTAAAGCAAGAGTATAAAACATCTCTTAGAAGTGTGTGTTAGCAGGGCAGCAGGCTCGGGGAAAGAAATGCGCTGTGTTAATTTACGGAGCGTGTTCTCATTCCCACTCGTTTAAGAAAAAGCAGTTGCAAAGTGTTTGTAAGAAAATCCAGGTAATTAGGGCTTTAGAAAATGCAAAATCCATCCACGTCGGTGAGCTGTGCTGTGCTTCCCGCGGGCCAAGACAGGATTCTGGCTCAACCTCTTGCTCGCTGGGATATGGCCGTCCCCACTCGGCACTACGAGCTCGGTGTGGTTTTGTTCAGCCGGGGACTGTGCAGACCCTGACTCGCAGCCCGCGGCCAAATGTGCACGTGGGGAGTGAAGTGGGACCTGTGGGGTCTCATCCCAGTGGGCAGAGCCCCCTGCCCAGCTCCAGCCCAAACCTCTTGAGCTTGCTGAAATGCCTGGAGAGGACAAGGCACCAAAGAGCAGATACTTTTTTGAATTTACAGCTTTTTGGTTTTTACAATGCAATAGTAACGGGGATGTTGGAATGACACTTTGTCCTTCAGCAGTAACTTTCATCCAGGGATCTCATAGCCATTTCCAGTCATTAGTGAAGGGACACCCCCAGAAGGCAGCACTGGGCCTCACACCACAGTTCTCACCACATCTTCCCTCTTTGGGAAAAGAATTACCATTGGCACACGTTTTGGCCATCTCTGAAGGCAGAAATTACCTTCTCCTTTCCCCTTCTCCTCTCCTTTCCCCTTCTCCTCTCCTTTCCCCTTCTCCTCTCCTTTCCCCTTCTCCTCTCCTTTCCCCTTCTCCTCTCCTTTCCCCTTCTCCTCTCCTTTCCCCTTCTCCTCTCCTTTCCCCTTCTCCTCTCCTTTCCCCTTCTCCTCTCCTTTCCCCTTCTCCTCTCCTTTCCCCTTCTCCTCTCCTTTCCCCTTCTCCTCTCCTTTCCCCTTCTCCTCTCCTTTCCCCTTCTCCTCTCCTTTCCCCTTCTCCTCTCCTTTCCCCTTCTCCTCTCCTTTCCCCTTCTCCTCTCCTTTCCCCTTCTCCTCTCCTTTCCCCTTCTCCTCTCCTTTCCCCTTCTCCTCTCCTTTCCCCTTCTCCTCTCCTTTCCCCTTCTCCTCTCCTTTCCCCTTCTCCTCTCCTTTCCCCTTCTCCTCTCCTTTCCCCTTCTCCTCTCCTTTCCCTTGATGTCAGCTTAGGATGTATGGTTACCATAAGAAGACCTGCAGGTTTGGGGGTTGTTTGGATGTCTGCTCACCCATGACAGTCTGACCTATCCATCTGTATGTGTTTCCCCTGCTTTTGTTCGCGGTAACTAAAGGACTAACCTTTCACCTACCAGCCTGGACAAATAAACACTGGCCCAGCAGTAGAGTGGAGCTGGTCATCTGGTTTTTGAGATCCCTTATCACAGCTCTGCAGTTGACCCTGGCCAGTTTGATACTCTTGCTGCATGTCCCATCAGAGCGCCTGTCTTTCTGCACTCAGGAAAGACTTTTCAGCTTGGTCATGCAGGAGTCCACCACTTAGAAAACTCAAAAAGTGTTAGAAAGTCACCCTGAAAACTGTCAGCTCCCAAACATGGTCCTACCCTGCTTTGGTGTGATGGGCTGGTGAGCTGTGGTTGGGTTTGTGGTGTCTTCTAACGTCTTCAGACAGATGCATGTGTCAAGTGTGACCATAGGCCCACCCGTGGCAGCAGTCTCCATGGCTTTGCTTCACCATCTCTCTGGGCGTGTTCTGTTTTGCCCTTTGGAGGCGACTCCTTTCTCTGTCACATGGCTGCTTAGCCCTGGAGATGTTCAGTGATGGTGGATGAGCAGTGCTCCATAGCACTCGCTGAGAAGCTCGGGGAGGCACACGGGCTGCGTGGGCCCGTAGCTCCTCCATCACCTGGCCACACTGGTCCCAGATTTTTTTGTCTGCTTCTCAGCAGCTGCAACAGCCTTGAGTAACCTTGGGAGCCATCTCGCACCATATGGGTGCTCCATTCCTGTGAGGGTCTCTGCTCCCTCATGCAGTTGGGGTTTTCTCTGGAGGTGCTGGGAAGTGTGGGGCACCACAAGGGGTGACAGTGGGGAGCTGTGTGGAGAAATCAGTAGCAGCTAACATCCTTCGCTAACCATTTTCATTAATTTACAGAATTGCCCTCTGTAGGCATCTGGGTCTGGTTTAAAGCAGGGTGCTAAGGACATAAATGCCGTCGAGCAAAATTAGCCAGCGTGAGCAATCCTGCTTTTTCGAATCCCTACCCACGTAGTGTGTAGAAGTGAGCGTGCGAAAGAGGGAATGTTCTGCATGACACCCAGGAGCAGTGGTGAGGCTGGTCATCCTCCCTGTGCTGTGGTTCACTTGCGATGGGCCATCCTGTGCTCGCAGCTCTGAGGGGGTCACCAGAGCTAATGGTGTGACTGAGAAGTTGTGGGTGCTGCTTTCTGGGGACGGTGGGGATCAGTGTGGTGGGCGATATCCACGCTGGGGCTTGGAAAGTCTCTGCTGCTCTAACTGTGGCTGAGGTGTCAGCTCTAAGGCCGAGCGCGCTGGTAGAAATATGTAAATATCAGCATCTTCAGCATTATATAGAATCATATAGAATGGTTTGGATTGGAAGGGACCTTAAAGATCATCTAGTTCCAACCCCCCTGCCATCAGCAGGGACACCTTCCACTAGACCAGGTTGCTCAAAGACCCATCCACCCTGTCCTTAAACACTTCCAGGGAGGAGGCAGCCACAACTTCCTTGGGCAACCTAATTATATTTGATACTTTCTGTTTCTAAACACTTGACAAATGTTTACGTATTTTCAGCAACCCTTTTCCAGCTTGGGAAAATGAGACACAGCATCTGTGAATTACTGTGCTACGTAACAAATCATTATGAGAGAGCACCTTAAGGGTTCAGTAAGGACTTGTAGGACCTAAGATTTCCTTTGCATTCCTTTAAAGCTGAAGGCAGATTAATATGAAAACTGAATCCAGTTTTGGACAGCAAGTTCAATCAGAAAAAATTGGATTCTGATGCTAATGAAGGAACTGGAAATTTTGGGGGATCACCTATCTGCGTAACATGTGTTACTGTGGTCATAAGTGATATGGTTCAAACTCTTGATTTGGTAGAAAAAGTCAGGGTTTCTTTGAAGTCAGCTGAGGACCTGGATTGCATGATTCAGGTGTAACAAAGCAACACGGGGATAACAGAAAAAATATAGGAAGGAACAGAATAAAATAGAAATAACTTCTTCCCCCTATTCATATAATATATGTATTTTATATATATATAAAAATATTCATATATTTTTTCCTTGTCCCATATCTTGTTAACTGTGAGTGTTCCTGGATTGGAAAAACCTGGAATCCAACCTTACAATTGCATTTGGTGCCAGATGCCCACTGCAGTTTCTATGTGGCTTCTTATTGCTGTGTCTTCGCTCCAAGATACCCACCACCCCCACAAACCTCTGCGGGACACCATCCGGCTGGCAGCGTGGGGATGCCGTCGGATAATCACCTCCTGGGCATGAGTGCCGTAAGAGGGGTTGTTACTGAAGCTGCTTTGCTCTTCCAGCTGCCAGAGAGCTTTCTGGAGAGCTGCTGCTCTCACTCTCCATGCTATTGCAGGCATTACTGGTCATTACTGGTTAGCCTGGAAGGACTGAGAAACTCTGGGTGGTAAAAGGGAAGATATGGTAAAATTACAAATGAGAATTTCTGAGTAGCCATTGCAGGAAGCCTGTGTGTGTGGAGGCAGGGAAGTGGCCGTGAGTACTGATGTACCTGGGCTGGCTGTGGTTCGTAACCCTGCATACGTGTGCGGTGGTGTTCCTGACGCTGAGGAAAACTGGGCCTGATGGCAGCTGAAGGAATTGGCCACTGTGCACTTAAAAGTGTCTCAAAGTAGTCAGCAATTTTCCCTTTTTTAATCATGAACCAAAAAGCAGAAGGGCAGAAGTGCATGAGCAATTCCAGCGTGCTTGTGGCACAGCTTTCCACAGAATGTGAGCACTCCGGTCGTGTCTGGAGCCACCGGAGGCTCGGCTTCCCCCTGCTCCTGCCCTGCGAGTCGCACCAGTGACCCACACACAGCCCCTTGCCTGTCCCTGCCTCTCCCGCAGCTCCCTGTGCTGTGCCAGCCCCTTATTTTTCTTCCCTTTAACAAACACCTTGTTGGCCACGGGCAGCTGCCAGGCGAGCGGCGTTCCCCAGGCCCTTGGAATGGCTCAAGCAACTTTAACTCCTTGGGTAGTCAGTGCAGTGAATGACTTTGTTTTTATGTTTTAGCGCTTTCCAAAGGCCTTGCTGACCTCCAGCCGTCAGCCCCGGCCATTTGAGGATGTGACAGCAGAATGCACGGACCCCAGTTCTGCTCCTGCTCTTTATCACCCCCTGACACTTCAGTCATCCCTGTCCCTTGTGGGTTTTGGCAAGGGCACTTGCTCATAATGTCATTCAGAAGTATTCCAGAAAAACAGTGGGAAACTCGGTACCAAATACCAACATGCCTTGTGTTGGTTGTAATTTGTAATTGTTCGTATGTGTTCCTCCCCGCTAATCCCCTTGCTGAAATTCATTATGGAGAGACAGTAACGCGCACTCAGAGAGCTGTGCTGAAGGCAGAATGACTTGGCCAAGGAAAGTAGCTATTGTTTTATGATTAAAGGAAGGGATTATATTGGGATTTCCTTGAACAAGGAAAGTCGCTGCCCCACTTTTATTGCTTGTAACAAGGGGATAATAATTACTCTCCGTTATAAAACACCTCCAGATCTTGTGCTGAAAGATTTGTGGTAGAGCTGCATGGCATTTGGGGTTGGTTATCTTAAATGGCCTGGAGTTGTGCAAACTAAGATTTCTCTGCCTTATTTTATTTCTCCTACTGGGGCTCAGACCCTGCTAAGACTATGGAAAAAATTCCCCTTCTCCATATTGGGTGTCTGACATGAGATCTTCCTCTGGAAGAGCTGGTACCAGTCACCCATCCTGTGACACTTGTCCTCTCCATGAGCGACGTCCAACCAGCTGGGATTTTGTACGGGCTTGGGAGGATGAGCAGGTACGACGGTAAGGACACAGACCAGCCCATGCCAGGGCAGCCAGGGGAAGTGGAGCTCGGTACGGGGTGCAGGCTGCCAGCTGGCTGCCACCCAGTGCTCCAGCACATCACTTCTTCCTGTGCCGCTGCCGTCCCCTCGCCGGGAGGGGTCTGAGAGAACAACTGAGTATTGTAACAGAGGTCGCTGGGGACTTGCTGTTTGTTTGGTTTTGACTCTCACTGCTGAGTTGCAGGGGTTGAGATGGCTGTGAAGGAAAGAAGCACTGGTATGTAGTCTCTGATTAAAACAAGAAAAACTACCTAGGCATTTCCTGAAGTGTCCCCAAGTGGCATCTTCTGGTTCAGCTCGTTTTTGAAGCATCCAGCTACCACCAGCTCCAGGGTGGTGATTCCAGTGTAATCAGAGTTGAATCTGTTTCCACTAAAAGTGGAAAAATAAATAAGGTTCAGT